AATATTTGTGTTTAAAAAAATGAGTAAAACCCACATGAACATACACTCTGTGTGAAGTGTAAACTGAAAAAAGTTACTAGCCTTTCGAGTATACTCTTGTACTACTGTATCAAGTAAATCTTATGCAGAACAGTTCAAAGCCTGATGACTATTTGCATTCCTGTCTATCTTTAGATGCCCCACCAACAGAGCTAATGGTAAGAAATTTCCACTAAGTAGAGTAAAGGCAAAGTCATTCAGTGCCCAGTTCCTACCTCAAGAATTCTGTGACTCTTAGCGTGGACAAAAAGATATGTTTTACCTTAAGGCAACTAACACTAGAATTACACAGAAATCCCCCAAAAAAAAAAATCACAAAATCTTTAAAATAATGTCATCCTATTTAACACCCAGTAAAACTGCCCGGTGTTTATCAAGGTAATTTGGCTACTTCAAAGTAAAATATGTATCTATTTTTTTCACGTAATTCTAAAGTAGGAACTATAATTTCACCAGAAACAAGAGCAGTCACTGCACTTCTCACAGTCACCTACAAAATTTTGCTGATTGCTGCCTTGGGACAATGCTGTATTTCAGAATGGGACACACTGGTAGGAAAGGTAATCTAAAAACAGAACTAAATCTCATGGTGGAAGGAAGAGGCTGTCAAATTTACTTGGATCCCTCTTCAAGCACAACATATAAAATATTCTGAGGAGATATTCTTTAGCCCTATGTAGAAGCCATCATTTTAAAGCCATGCCTACACTTAAGAGTTCCTCAGTGAGCTTTCTGGGATAACCTATCACAGATGAGGTTTCTGTTTGTTTTATCAAGTTCCTCTAACAGCACCACAATTAACCTGCATATAATAATGCTTTACAGTGCAAGAAATGGTGTCCTTGGAGCTATGAAGTAAACTTAATAGTACAAGTTACTTGTATTGTTGGGCATGCTGCATTTCTGTGGAACTACCTTTTTTCACCATTCCTAAGACAGAATTCTAGGTTGACAGTTAGGTGTTCTCAAGAGCAAGTTTCAGGAGCTTATAAACCAAAGCAAGTGGAGAACTTCTGAATTATGCTGAAAGCCAAAGGAAAACAGAGAGGAGATTATTAAAAAAAAGCAAAATTAAATCTTTTCATAAGACTAGCAGTGGGCTTTCCAGCGTAGTAACAATGGCAACAAATTTGAAGAGCAGGATTTTGTTCCATGAACACCATATTCTCAGCAGATAGACTGTAAACCTTTAGCTTGTATGTTTGCCTCTGCATTTGGTTTATGCTAGAAAAAAGGTAGAGTTGGCAAAGGTATTAGGGTTATATTAAGCAACTTTTGGCTCTTCTGGCCCCAGGAATTAAGTATTACCCCAGACAATTCAGATTTCATAGGAAAGACATTATGCTGATAACTAACATTTATTATAGGCAGAGTAGAAAATCAATGAGGAGACAAAATATAAGTAGTATTTTCTTTTGTATACAGATACTTTCAAAAGCAATGTACCATCGTAACTGAACTCCAACTGGAGCTACAAATACTGCATTATTTTTCACAAGGATTTTCAAGTTGAAATAGACATGAAAGCTATATTTGTCCCCTCTTGTCTCACTACCATTTCTGACTGTCATTCTTGCCAGCTCTGTGGTCACCCACCTCATATTCCATTAAAAATGAAATTTAAAATAGCGGACTCCAAAATGGCAAGTCCCTCCTGCTGCCACTCCTCCCCTTTCCCACAAAGAAGTCTACTTTTTTGAGCAACACTGAAAGGAGGCAAAGTGCCAGAACATAACTGAAACTCCTGTCAGGCTTCTTTCACAGTCCTCGCACCCAACCTGGGCCACAGAAAACTATTTACAACCTTCTAAACAGTTTCTCAATTCTGAAGAAAAAAAAAAAAAGGAAAGAAAAAGGTAGTTCCAGTGAGTTGAGGGGGGTGGAGGGGAAGCCACACGCCAGGACTGCAACACCTCGAGCATCAGATGGCCCCCAATTCTGTGCTCGCTAACAGATTTCACACCCAACCACCACCCCCCGAGGGCAACGGCCTGCCCCAGGCTCCCCTGCACGCACTGCCGCGGGGAGAGGCAAAGGGAGGAGGGAAGACAGAGAGATAGACAGAAAGGGGGGAAACAAAACAAACAAACAAAAAAAGGAAGCGTGGAGAAGTAAAAGCAGAGCAAAAAGGCAGAAGGAAAACGGGGAGAAAAGGGAAAAGACTGGGAAAACAAAATAATTACAACCAAAGAGAAAAGGAGAGAGGGGAGAGGGGGATAAAGGGAGAGAAAAGGAGGGGGAAAGCGGGGAAAGAGGGAAGAGGGGGGAAGGGGGTAAGGAAAGAAAAAAAGGGGAAAAAAGAGAGAAGGGGAGGGAAGGTTTGGGGAGGGAAGAGGGAGGAGAGAGGAGAAAAATAAGGAGAGAGGCACAAAAATGCGCCTCCCTGGGCTCCAGTGCCGCACCTGCCCGATGGTCCTGCCGCTCCTGGAGTTGCGCTGCTCCGCTCCGAAGGGTAGGGCGCCCGGGAAGGGCGATGCGCCAGCCCGGCAAAGCCGCCGCCCGCTCCGGGGCCACGCCGTTCCCGGTCCGGCGGCACTGCCCACCTGCGGGGCCGCGCTCGGTGCAGGGCGGGGCAGCCTCGGGACCCGCAGGGAGCCCGGCGACACGGCACGTCCCGCCTGCGGCCGGCGCCGGACTGCGGCCCCTGCATTGGCCTGTCCACCCCCGGGCGGCCCCGCGCCTCTCACGACACCACCCACCCACCCACCTCCTAGTCCGACCCGACCCTCCACGGGCCGCCGGCGTGTCCCGCCCCCGCCTCTCCGCCCCATCCCTGCCCCCGTCTTTACCTGGATCGAGACGCCGCCAGTAGTTTTGGCAATGGCCCTTATTTGTCCTTTTTTAACTTTTTTTTAACGCTTCCCCTGGTAAAGCCCGTAGCGTTGAAACCCACGTAGGATGGGGACAACTCCTGTGCGACTCAAAGCAACAAAGGGCTTTTTCGCGGTTCCCCGTTCAAGGAGGAGAGAACACCCGCAGGGCATAGCCCCAGACGGCCACGCACCCACCGGAGCTGGTGGCCGGGTGCCACCTCGGGGCAAGGAGGAAAGACACCACGAAGAATCACAGGTTCACAGAATCACTGAGGCTGGAAAAGACCTCCAAGATCATTGAGTCCAACCTTTGACCAAACACCATCATGTCAACTAAACCAGAGCACTGAGTGCCACATCCAGTAGTTCCTTGAACACCTCCAGGGATGGTCACTCCACCACCTTCTTGGGCAGCCCATTCCAATGCCTGACTACCCTTTCAGCGAAGAAATTCCTCCTGATATCCAGCCTGAAGTCCCCAAGAGCTCAATGCTACTTATCACTGCTCTCTAATCCCAACATGCAACCGGACATGCCTATCTCGTATTGCCTTTTTGGCCTTTTCAGCCACCAACGTGCTTGCAACAAATGTGGGTAGAGCCCTTCCCAAATCTTCATTCGCGAAGCCTAGCCATGAATCCCAACAGTCCAACCATTTAGGCGCTGAGCGGGCTCGGCGTTCGTGACCGGGGGGACCCAGCAGGGCTAGTGCTCCCCAGCCTACCCGGAGCTGGCCTTCTGCACACAATGTGGGTTTGAAGTGGGTCAGTGGGGGAGAATCAAGAGATGGAAGAGAGGATGGGGTGGGAAGGCACCCGGCCTGGCTGGGAAGCCGTGCGCGAAACTTAACAGCAGTGAAGAGTAAAAACATGCCTGGACAAAGTCTGAAGAAGACTCCGATTTCTTGTTTCTTTTTCCCGTCAGATATCTGTCCAATGCTACATACTCCACGGGAGCTGGAGAGCTGTGAAACATAAAGGTGGAGCTTACAGACAACCAGCTTCTTATTATTTTACCAAAATACTTAGAAAGAAAACAGAAAATTAATTTCAAGGAAATAGGAAGTTCAATAAAAGTGTGTACCTCATTAAAAAATCCCGAGTGCTACAGCCTGCAGCAGCTTGAACAGTGGTTGTTGATTCCCCTAAAATCCCGGCACACCAGCATTATCTGGAGTGCACCATGATTTGGCAGCTGAAGGCACATCTAATAGACTCTCCTGTCCTTACTTCATTCCAGCTGTGAGCTCCTACTGAAAGGTCCTACATCTGCACGGATCAAGAGGCTGGAAACTGACAAGAAAATGAGAAGATTGGGCTTCAAGGCTTTCACTAGGAAATAGCTGCCAGAAGAAGGGGGAATTGCCTCCATGTGTCACCACCTGGATCAGACAGCTTATTTTAGGAATGGACTGCATAACCTCAAATCTTCATAGTTGTCAAGAAAATTTTCATTGTATGTATACCCTGTGTGTAGAGAAGTAGTGTATAACTGCGTGCTGTTTTGGCAGTCATCCCTTTTTCCTAACAGATCGGGTGGAGGAAAGGGAGTCCTCTAGTGTGTCTGTTATTTATAGGGCTGAACTTCTGGTTCTTTGTGGAGCACCATGCCAAAAAAGCTTTTTGTCTCTAAACCCAGCAGAGGCTGGTAACAGGAGAGAGAAATCTGTGGGGAGGGGGCAAGATTTCCTGTTAGAAAATTACTAACATTACTCTCCCATGAAGAGTAATGTTTTATCATCAGTAATGATCTATGATTACAAGCACTGACTGTATCCTGTTGGTCTTGCAAATTAGAAAAATAAAAGCATAAATTTAAGTATTTGTTCTCTTGCTAAACCACCTGCAATGCATCGCAGAATTCCAATTGCAGTACAAGTAAGTAACAGCAGAGCTGAACACTGAGTATTCTTAAGAGAGTGAACTGGGTAAGCTTTGGGGGCAGATGTTTACTCTCATGGTTTTCCATCCCCCCTGTGCTAATTACTTACACAGCTAAAGATGCAAAGAAGTGTGTGATGCAAAGTCATCAACCAGAGTTGATGAATATTTGTGCAGAAACAGAAAGTACCTCTAACAAGTACTTCCTGTGAGAGAAAGAAAAAAAAAGCATTAAAGTTATTACTGAATGTAGTTATTTCAGGTAGCTGAAATTAAGAAGTCTTTTATTCTCTAACTCTTGCACAAATAGAAAGTGAAGTTCTCCATAGACTGACATGATTACAGAGGTGCTGATCCTTGGCTGACCATGCTGGCAAAGACTCATTTGTTTATTGCAGCTTTGTAACATTTCAAGGACCATAAGTGTTTGACTTATGGTTCCTTTCATGGATAGTTTTTGTCAACTGATCCTGAAATAAAATGGATGAAGTGGGTTTGCACCTGGTTTTTACTCTTCTAACCTTGAGTCCGGAATATGAAGATGACAGAGTCCACAAGCTGCCCTTCCTGCTATGGGGCAGACCACTGACAGATGTGACTGTATGGCAGCTGTAAAGCAACAGTGAAAAGGTTACGTCACTTACAATTTTGGAAGTACTGACAGAGAAATTAAAACAGTAGAAAAAGTGGAACTTAGGGACAAAATACAGACAAAAGTGAACAAAAAGCAAGTCACAAATATAAGAAATTTAAAACACATAAATGATTTTGCTGTGAATTTTTTTTGGTTGGAATGAAATCAGCTTGTAGAAGAGTATTTCATAGATGTGGTAAGACCAAGAATCCAGTGTGAACAGGGCACACAAACAACACTGAGAAAGTTTCAAGAATAGTTTTTTGTGTATGGCTAAACTTACATAGTTACAGTGCAGGGGAATACAGCTTAAATATATCTCCACTAAGGGGACAGCTGTCTTTATGCTTTCTCCAAGTTGATCTCATTTGTAATTTGACAGCTGCCTTCAGGCTTTTAGGCTTTTCTTGGAAAACGTAAAGAATACAAAACATTTCTAAATACCTTAGATTTTTTTAATGCTATGTCAAAAAGTTTAAGCTGCAAAGAATTTTTTAAGCCTAATGTTTACTGCTAATTCTTGTATCTTCTCAATTTTACCAGTTTTAAGGAAGTAAAAGTTTTCTTTTCCTGAAAGTAGCATGGTCTAGCATGTTGTAATGTTAACTGAGTTTTTGTGTCTTATAAATACCTGTTATAAATATCTGTAAATATCTGTTTCTTGTGGTAGTTCAGACCTAGCTTTAGGAATATGCAAGATCCTAATATATATATAACCTCATATAGACAGAGGATCTTAACCTCAGATTTGAATCCTGCTAGGGCTTCAAGGTTTCTCAAATAAAGAGACTGTGATCTTACTACATTAGCCTTCTCTAAGGAAAGATTTGCTACAATCCAGAAATTTGTACTATCTTTTCTGGAAACATACCTTGTAACATTTCCTTTTGCTGCAAATTTTAAGAGATGCTCTTGCCCTAGATTCCCCATACTTCTGGCTTTTTACCTGAATAGGGGAAAAAAGTGATCTTCAGTTTGCAGATGAACTGCTGAAAGCTGAGCCTCTACATAAGTCAAGGGTGGGACCAGAGAAATGCAAACACCATATAAAAGGTCCTAAGAAGATGATCACAGCTGCCAAAACCACTTTAACACAAAACATTGTCTGACAGAAGGAAGACACCTCAACCCATTTAAGAAAATAAAGAAAAATACATCTGAAGCACATTGTAGCATTTTTCTCTTTGGAACAAAGTCTCTTCTGGTATGAGTGAGTATTAATTTGTAGGGATCAGCATGGCTCATGCCTAAAGTTAATAAGGGAAGGTCATATGTTATTGCTCAGACCATAATATATATTACAGATATTCTTTTATTTTAGCTGTTGTGTGTTTACACAGAATTGTCATACTTTTTGAAAGACAATTTTTTTCAGGTAAGTTTAAATAAGTTTAGTATGAATGAACTATGTCAGTACTGTATGATCAAGGACATCCTGGGACAAATTCTTTCCTGGACACTGGCTGGCAGTTAGTGCTAATTACAGAATTGAAAACTGTGTGGAGTGGATAGGAGCCTTGAGTTGACAAAATTAACTGTAAAACATATACTGAGTAAAGTAGGGGCCTCTCATTGTACCATTGTGGTGGGTTTGACCTTGACTTGCTGCCAGATGCCTACCCAGCTCTCTTGCTTTGCTTCCTTCATGGAACAGGGTGAGAAAATTAGAGGGAAAAGCTTATGGGTTGGAATAAAGACAAGGACATTACTTAGCAATTACCATCATGGTCAAAACAGACTCAACTTGGGAAAGATGCACTGTCAATTAAAAATAGAGTGGAATAGTGAGAAAAAAACCAGACAAAAACTATAACCACCTTCCCCTTAGCTCTTCTGGTTTCTTCTCAGGCTCAACTTCACCCCTTCTTTTCTGACTTCTCCTACTTCTTCTTCCCTGAGTGGTGCAGGGGCATGAGGCAAGAGCATTGTGATCAGTCCGCAACTGCTCCTCTCTGCCACTCCTTCATCCTTATGCTGTTCCTTTCCGTGTCCCTGTAAGGGATATAGTCCTTCACAAACTGCCACACTGTGGGTCGTTTCCACAGGGTTCTGTCCTTCAGGACAGACTGCTCCAGCATGGCTTCCTGCCCTGGGCAGCTGCTCCTGCCAGGAGCTTGCATGGCCTATCCACTTCCTTCAAAATGCATCCACCTGCTCCAGAATGGTATCTTCCATTGGCTGCGTGTGGATATCTGTTCAACAGTGGTCATCCATGGGGTGCAGCGGGACAACCTGCTCCACTGTGTTCTTCTCCACAGGGCTGCAGGGAATCTCTGCTCCAGCATCTGGAGCACCTCCTCCCCTTCTTTCTCCACTGACATTGGTGTCTGCAGGACTATTTCTTCCATTTTTCTCACTCTTCTCTCTCACAGCTGCTATACAGTGGTTGTTACACTTTTTAAAACACATTATCACAGAGGTCCCACCAGTATCACTGACAGACTCAGCTTTGGCCAGCAGTGGGTCCATCTTGGAGCTGTCTGGAACCAGCTGTGTCCTGTATAAGGCTTCCCCCTGCAGCCACCACCTCACCCACCGACTTTGCCAAGTAAACTGAATCAAACCACTTATGTTATTTTTTGTTACTCTGATCCAGCTAAAAAGTGTGACTTGCTGATTGCACTGAAAATGTGAGAAGCAAGCCTGGCGTTAACATTTCTGCTGGAGGAATGAATGTTCCCTCCTGCTGGCTGCTTTGGCAAAAGTGGTGAAAAATCAGCCTGGTGTAGCCTGGCAAAGCCAGTACTTTGACCATAAGGAGAATCTGTTGAAGTCCTCCCAAGATACTAAAAAAGACACAAACTTGAAGCTTTCTAACTATTTCAAATTTTATTTATGAAAAGTATCAATTGTCTTAGAAATTCCCCTTTCCCAAAGTAATAATAAATCAATACCAATATTATGTATACAAATATAAATAAATACATACATACATACATACATGTACACATACATACATGGAGACGTATGTCTATGTATACACCAGGAATTCTGAACTAATGTTTGAGTCAGTTTCATTTGTCCTCTACACTTCTGAGACATTTCATGAATTTCAGAGCTTCATCTCCTAATTGCTTAAAAGGTGATCAAACTGCTGAAAGGACTGCAGACTGTGTATCTGCAATGCTCTGCTCAAGCCCTTCCTATGATTGTCTGTTAACTGTTTCATAACTCAGCTTTCCCAGTAAAATTTGTTTCATTTCTCCTTCTCTTTGTTGAAGGTGGTCTGTTATTACAGCTGCTGGTGTGTTGATCCTGGCTGGATGCCAGGTGCCCACCAGAGCTGCTCCATCAGTCCCTTCCTCAGTTGGACAGGGGAGAGAAAAAAAATATAACAAAAAGCTTGTGGGTCAAGGTAAGGGCAGGGGGATGTCACTTAGCAATTACTGTCACAGGCAAAACAGACCCAACTTGGGGAAACAAGTTTATTACCAATATCAAGTTAAGGAAAAATAAAACTAAATCATAAAAACACCTTTAGTCCCACCTCTCCCTTTTTCCCAGGATCAGCTTCAATCCTGATTTTCTCTACCTCCTCTCCACAAGTGCCACATGGGGATGGGTAATGTGGGCTGTGTTCAGTTCATCATGTGTCGTTTCTGCCATTCCTTCCTTCTCAAGGGGAGGACTCCTCACACTCTTCTCTGCTCCAGTGGGGGTCCCTGCCATGGTCCCTGCCATGAACTTCTCCAATTTGGGTCCTTCCCACAGTCAGCAGTCCTTCACAAACTGCTCCAGTATGCGTCCCTTCCACAGGATGCAGTCCAGGAAAAGACTGCTCCAGCATGGGTCACTGTGGGGTCACAAGTTCTGCCAGCAAACCTGCTCCAGAGTGGGCGCCTTTCCATGGGGCCACAGCCTTCTTCAGGTATCCACCTGCTCTGACACTGGGTCCTCCATAGACTGCACCACAGCCCTCCATGGGCTACAAGGGCACAGCTGCCTCACCATGGTCTGTACCAGGGCTGCAGGGGAACCTCTGCTCTGGGGCCTGGAACACCTCCTCTCCCTCCTTCTCCACTGACCTTGGTGTCTGCAGGGCTGTTTCTCTCACATACTCTTACTCCTCTCTCTGACTGCAATTGCTCCTGCACAGCAACTTTTCCTCTTCTCAAATATGCTATCCCAGAGGCACTATCTCCGTCAACGATGGACTCAGCCTTGGCCAGCAATGGGTCCATCTTGGAGCTGCTGGCACTGGCTCTGTCAGACATGGGGGAAGGTTCTAGCAGTTTCTCACAAAAAACACTCCTGCAGCCGCCCTGCTACCAGAACCTTGCCATGCAAAGTCAATACAAGCTGTGAGAACAATTCCACAATAAACTGGTTTATATTCTCTTGTGCTCATGTTTTGCTAGTTAAACATCTAATTTCTTTCCACTATGAACGGTAAACTCATGTGATCCTATATCACATGAGCAGCACCTTTGATTAAGTTATAATATTTTTATAATGACACTATTTTGTTGCTAGTTTTTATACAACTGCTAGTCTGGTGCTAAGCTTCCTATATGCATTTTGCTGACATCGCAGACTTCAGGGTTGTTAGTATAGGATATATAGCTAATACGATTTCATGTTATACTGTCCAGTGTTGCTACTTGTAGACAGGATTAAAAACGAATTCTGTATCAACACTTTTTTTGGGCATATGCAAACATTAATGCCAGCTTAGGACCATGAATATAAAGTGCCTTTGGATGTTATTTATATGTACAGCATTAACCTCTTGCCTTACTTTGTTCTTTCTTTATCATCAGGCTCTCAACACCTACTTATAATTTCCTCATATTGCTTTCTTCATGACATTTTGCCTAATTTCTTTGAAATAGACAGTACTTTTATTATTTCTGGATTTTCTTTCAGTTAGACTTTCCCTATATCTTATCTGTTATTGTGGGTTCCTGTTTTATAGCAGGGTCGCTCTGCTGGCACAAGCTGAAAATTTTTCAAAAGGATTTCAACTTTAAGGATTTTTTTTTTTAACAAAATTTGCTCTGCTGGCAACAGAATGTCTGTCTCTGAACCTCTGGGCAGTCAGTCTCCATACACATATACACCATATATGTGATTCCTGAGAAACTGCACAATAGTATGAAATGTGAACACATGAATTTTCCAGTACTTCTGTAGGAGTTCTTTTCTACTATGGAAATGGAGCAATTTTATCAAAAAGATGGATATTGCTGGGTTATGTATTCTACTGTACCTTATACAGTCTTTCACAGCGCTCTTTCCAAACTCGTCCTGTTGATTTTGCAGACTTAAGTTTCCAAATCTGTCTTGTTTCTTTATGCTTCCAAGATTTAGTGGTTTGGTCACATAGTCCATTATTTTTCTGCCCTGGAGGGTACATGTGGGGTCCTAATTAAGACTAGTCAATTTACATTCTGCAATTCACCACAC